TTATTATTTTCATAGTTGAAATCATGAGTCAATTGAAGCTAGACCACCAAGGAAAACCTGGAAGCACTGGACGATCGTTTCGTCCTATCATGGGACTCCTCAGCAATGTGCATCCACGATCCCGCACCGCGAGATTTGAACCCAGGACTTATCAGTCTCAATTTCGTGGATTGGTTGAAGTTAGACATTAATACAGTTAGATACCGGCCGGCTCAGTGGTCTAGAGGTTAAGTGCTCGCGCGCGAGACTGGTGGCTCCTAGGTTTAAATCTCGCGAGGCGGGATCATGAATGCACACTGACGAGGAGTCCCATAATAGGTGAAATGGCCGTCCAATGCTTCCAGGTTTTCGATGGTTGTCTAGACTCAATTGACTCATGATTTCAACTATGAGAACTTACATATATGTTCAATTTTCATTCAATGTTCATTATAGACTCCGTACTTTTTTCTATTGTTAAGTTAAATATTCCAAAAATTATGTAACAATGTAACAGTTAATTCATCTTTTTTTGAGTTTTGTTCTCCTTAACACTTTTGAATTCATTTTTATCGTCAACTGGGAATAATTGTACTGTTTTTCTCTACCCTATAGTATTTGTTTTTTTTGTTTAGGAAAAAACTGCATCATAGTTGATACATTGTAGAGAATTACAGATGTTTCTTCTCTTGAATACATATTTTGTTGTCGTTGTTATCCGTGTTTTATTTTTTTTTTAATCAGCTAACTGATTCAGTCAGTCAGTCACAACGTAGAACTTCGTACATACGTACATCAGTTCGAGTTGCCATACCACATTAGCACAGAGATGCAGTTATCCATTCAAATCCCATATTGGTAGAAGTAGTAATAGTATAAGCAATAAACCGAAAGATTAGGGTTTGAAGATGTTATTCAAGGAGTATATTACAGTGAAATAAATTTGAAAAGAGAAAAAGGAAAGGGACATAAAGAATTCAGAAGATTAGAATTCGGTAGAACACAAAGAGTGGATGCACCCTCGCCATTGCAAACGATTTTGAGCCATGTCATTCAACGTCTCTAACCATCGATTGCTATCATCTCGCGAATCCCAACCAGGTAATCTACACCTTCCAGCATGACTCAGTCCACATGTCAGTGACTTCATGGATTTGTGCCACGTTTTGGTCTGGGCCCCCTTAGCTTTCTTCCAACCTACTCCTATACCAAGCTAACTGATTATATTCCGTGGAATGAGTTCTCGTTTTAAACAGTTGAATGTTGTTGTTGGAAGACCATGACCATGGGTTTTTTTATCAGTTAACACTGATCAGCAAGGCGTATATATGTAATCTTCAGGGAAATAATACCCCCAGGTTGATTCGAATCCAGGTTACGGGATTGAGATATTCACACTTGATTGATCTTTAAGTAGTGACAAATGAATAATAATGTTATTTTCTAAAATAATTAACTAACTACAAGCATTTTAACTCAAGACGAAGAATTTCCATTAGATAAAATTCTGTCTTTTACTAGTTCCGTGAATTTAATAGTTCAACTGATGATGCATATTTATACGTTAGGTTCCGGAATGTTTTTTCCCAAGATGAACGTCTTTCACTTCTGTACCTTCATTGAGGAATCATCATATTCTTTGTAACTTTTTGTTCAATATACACAAGTCTAGTTAAAATTTACAATAGTTTTATTTATTATTATTAGTATTACTATTATTATTATTATTTCATTCCATGATCTCTTGAATCTGATTTTTAATAATAATATTATTATTAGTATATGGTTGAAATCATGAGTCAATTGAAGCTAGACCACCATGGGAAATTTGGAAACACTGAACGGCCGTTTCGTTTTTATTGTGATTCTCCTCGGCAGTGCGCATCCACGGTAAATGGTCGCTCAATTTCGTGCATTGGTTTAAGTTAGACATTAACACTGTTGGATGATGACCGTCTCAGTGGTCTATCGGTTATGTGCTCGCGCGTGAGACTGATAAGTTCTGGGTTGGAATCTCCTGAGGCGGGATCGTGGATGCGCACTGCTGAGGAGTCCGACAATAGGATGAAGCGGCCGTTCAGTGCTTCCATGTTTTCTATGGTTGTCTAGCTTCAATTGACTCATGATCACAACTATGTAAAATTACTAAAATCTCCCCAAAACCCCCTTCTGATAATAATAGTTTAGTGAACGAGAACTCGGGTGGGGACAACCAATTTACTGTTTAATACAAAATTATACAACCTCTTGGTTAAATATGAGAACCATACACTGAATACTTCATTTGGTAATTTCCATCATTTGTCCTTCACATTCTATATGATTCTTCCAAGTGGCGATTCCTTTCTACTTACCTTTATATTCTTTTCAACTCGATCTTCTTAGCTTTCTGGTTCTAGGTTTTCCACTTTCGTTTGGTATTACATACGACTTATATCTCTTGATATAAGTAGGAATACACCATAAAAGTAGTAGCAATTTGGTACTTAAATTTATTTTCTCTTCAGATATGTATATATTTCTTGAGATATAATAGGCCTTTGTTTCTATTTTCAATCTAATTGTAGACAAATCCATTCTCCAAATTTAATTGCTACTATCATGGCCCGGATTCACTTTCTTTCCACCTTCTCTAACTATTTTATCCATTACTTTACAATTAATTAATAATATTATTGATTTCTATAATTCAATAAGCTTAATGGATTATAATTAGCTGATTAATTAGTTAATTATTATTTGTTGTAGTGTATCCTTATTTTGTTTAACGCCGTCTATATGCACTAAATATGATCATCGTCATCAGTATCAGCATAATCACTCCCTATATTATTACTACTATCATTACTATTACCATTATTATTATTAATACTGTCTATACTTTAGAGTTGAAGACTCCGTTTTCTTTTATTTTCTACACGGTATTGCTTTTTTCCTGCAAAATAAGTTTTATTTATTTATTTATTTAAACACATAAATATTGGTACAAGGGGGCACTAAATACACATGCGCCACACAAATCTCATTTGATTTGTGTGAGGGTTGTGCTACTGCCCAAGTGACCAAACTGAAGCAGGTGTTTTTCCTAGGAGGCCACATCCGGAGCCTTCGATCTAAAGGTCTGTTCCACAAGGCAGTGGAGCATCGTGAAGAGGTTTAGTCCCATTGTAGCCGGTGACCAACAACAGGTTCATACTCCATTTGTTACTTTAGGATCCTGGAGCCCATGTGCACCATTGGTTAGAAATCAGGGTTTAGCAACTTCCCTAGGTAAACTTTCCGTGTCCACCAACCCGGTTAAAGCTCCGGATATTCGGTTTTCGTTCTGTCAATTTCGTAAAGAACAGTAATGCCGCGAGGAGGCAGAGAGTAAGACTTCCCTGTCAGAGGCTATATACTCGTAGCCATGTGAGAGCATTTGAAGGGGGAGAGCGGACTCTTCCCCACTCTCGGCCGTACCAATACACTTGTGATGTGATGATGATATTCATACCTTACCGGTTAGATTTTGTTATGACTCAACTAGTTGTCATTCATACCAATTACATCTAAAAACTTATATATATTGAATATCTATCACTTTCATTTGTTATAATCATTACATACTAATATACATTTCTAGTTTATAGATGATCATTCTTTCGGATAGATGTATATATGTATGGATGGATGTATGTATCTGTATAGGTTTTAATGATAAACAAATTAAGGAGCGATAAATTCATAGCTGGTACCGTGTTTAGAGACAATTTTCTCTCTGATATTAATATGTGGATTAAATAGGATTGTTAGTTAAATAAAATTTGTGATCTTAATTGATTTACAATAGACATTAATTTTTTTTTGTTTTGATTTATTCCTTTTCTGATATTTTGATTATTTCTCACGGAAAATAAAATACACGATATGATTATCTGAATTTTATTTTGTTTCATAGTAGAAAGAAGTTATTTGTTTGGTATTTTCGTAGTTGAAAGCATGATTCAGTTGAAGCTAAGACCACCAAGGAAAACCTGGAAGCACTGGACGGCTGTTTCATCCTATTGTGGGACTCCACAGCAGTGCGTATCCAGGACCTTGCCTCGTGAGATGCGGACCCAAGACCTACCAGTCTCGCGCCAGAACACTCAAATGATAGACCATTTAGCCGGCATCCCATGGTGTTTATGTTTAGCTTCAAACTATCCACAAAGTTAAGCAACCGTTCACCAATTGTTTTCAGTGAGTTCCTATCTCACAACAGACGCGGTTTGAACTCCACTGGTCACTGCTTCTCACTGGAACTTCAGGAATCACCTCTTGAAGCGAGTCCCACAGTAGGACGAGACGGCCGTCCAGTGTTTCCAAGTTTTTCTTAGTGGTCAAGCTTTAACTGATTCATGCTTTCAACTATGAAAATACTAAATCTCTACAAAAATCCCCTTCTGATTATAATCATATACTCATTATTGACTGACTTCGAGAGGTAAATCCAATAAGCAAATACTATTCATAGATTTTGGGAGTTCTAGTGAGAAGCAGTGACCAGTGGAGTTCAACCAGGTCTGTTTTGTGATAGGAACTCACTGAAGACAATTGGTGAACGGTTGCTCGACTTCGTGGATTGGTTGAAGTTAGACATAAACACCCTGGGATGCCGGCTCAGTGGTCTATCGGTTAAGTTCTCTGGCACGAGATTGGTAGGTCCTGGGTTTGAATCTCGTGGGGCGGAATCGTGGATGCTCATTGCTGAGGAGTCCTACAATAGAATGAAACAGCCGTCCAATGCTTCGAGGTTTTCGATGGTTGTCTAACTTCAATTGACTCACGATCTCAACTATATAAAATACATCTGTTTAATACGTTTTTTTCTTAACACTCAGTAATTCTTAAACTTATATCAACTTATTAGCATATAAGATTTATACATATTTATGAGTATGTCTTTGATTGATTTGTATATGAATTTTTAGTATTCTATTATCTTTCTTCTCTCTATCTATCTCTATCTCTCTCTGTTTCTCATTATTTACATTGATTAGGTAAAAGAATATATGCCAAATTTTGTTTTACGTTATCAACGGGAAGATAATGGTGTATGGTATGAACATGTAAAAACTGATGGTACACGAGTACGTTTTTTTTCAATATTTATGCATAATGTTTTTATTTAAGTAAATTATCTTTTCATATTTAATCTTTCTATATGTGGTGTATATTGGGGGGGGGGAGCTATGGTGGAGACGATGAAATCCATTTCATAGAAAGTTGTCTTTGAATATTTACCATCATTGTTTATTTTATAGTTTAGTTTCAACAACATAATTTGTCTTATTTATTTTATGTAATGAAAAGCACAAAAAAAAAGAAAAGTTGTAGACAAGAATTGAGATGTCTATGAGAAAGTGTGCAAAAAATGAGATGAAAGAAGGTGAAGCTGAGGTAGGGAGGGGAGGGCTTTGTGATAATTAATAATAATGATAATAATAATAATGACATAGTTCTTAAAACATAATTTTGGCATGGATTGAATGTCTAATTAATGAATAAATGAAATGAAATTTATAAGAGGTAGGTGGGGTATGTGAGGTTGGTTAATGTTTGCCAGTTTATTTAAGCGTGTTTAGTCAGGAAAAAAGAATGTTGAATACTTTCAATTCAGTAATCTCTACAAAGCTAAATTGAAAACTATCACGTGTTCACTACTGACTAACCTCGACGGGGGAACTCTCGTAGATCTTGTGAGAAGCCTTCGCCAGTGGAATCCAACCGTGTCGGGTGCGAGGCATTTACCCACCGATCTATCTAATTTGCTTAGATCTCGTTTCCTTTAGGACGAATCTTCCAAATATTTTTGAAGTCAGAATGTTTGTGCCAGATTTTCTACTTTGACAGTAACTGAATAATTTTATCGATATATTTACACTTGTAGAAAATTTAAAGAATACTAAACGAAATGAATTCACATCGCATTCCATCTTATGTTTGTTAATGTTACTTAACAATAGTAGCCCCCAAATGCCCTGGTACGGCCCAGAGTGGAGAGAGTACACTCTCCCTCTCCAAATGCTCTCATATGGCCACGTGTATATATCCTCTTCCAGAGAAGTCCTACTCACTGCCTTCTCGTCTCATTACTGATGTTTACGAAATTGAGAGGACGAAAAGCGAATGTCCAGCGCTTTAACCGGGTCGGTGGACAAGGAGGGTCCATCTAGGGAAGTTGGAAAACCCTGATTCCTAACCAATGGTGCACATGGACTCTAGTATTCTGAGGGAACGAATGGCGTATGAACCTGTTGTTGGTCATCGGCTACCTTGTGACTGCATCTCCTCACGATGCTCCACTGCCTTGTGGATCAGTTCTTCAGGTCGAAGGCTCGGAGTGTGGCCCTCTAAGAAAACTACCTGCTTCAGTTTGGGCGCTTTGGCAGTATGACAGCCCTCACACAAATCGAATGAGATTTGTGTGGCGCATATTTATCTGGTGCTTCTTTGTACCAATATTTATGTGTTTAAGTAATAATAATAATAACAATAGTAAATGTTTTCATACCATTCCTCATTAATTTCTTTTGTAATATTTATATTTGTCTTATCAGGTCCTAAAAGCTAATAATGATCCACGAAATATTGCTAGAACTACACTTGATTCAGTAGTTATTGCTAAACGTGTACGTATTTACCCTTATAGTCATCGGTCAAGGCAACAAGTTTGCTTACGATTTGCATTGTATGGATGTGATTTCCCAGGTGAGTGTAATATATATATATATATAAACCATATTCATTTTCAGTGTACACTTAACACAAAACCCACTATAGTTTCATGTACGCACATATACAATCCTTAGTAGATTTGTGGTCGACCTATTATTGAACATCAGTTGATCGTATTTCATAGTTTGAATCCTGCCCCCATACTTCTTACTTTAGTTTGCTCTGTTAAATCTTGTTATCGTCCCTTTCTCATTTTAAGTATGTTTCTAAAAGTGATTGAAGTAAACGTAATAAGGTTTGAGTCTGTAATCTCAGTGCAGGGATCAAAATTTTAGATATTTTAATCATTAGTCGATTGCTTGACATGATTTCATACAGTTCAGTGTAATTCACCTCACCTTAGATGCTAGTTTACTAACAATTCGTTATTCTACTTTTTTTTTGAGTTAATGACATAAGATGATAATACACTTGGTGGGATGGTGAAAAGATTTATAGCGTAGGAAAAACTTGAATCTTTTTGAATGTTGCTTTCCTCTTAAATTATGTAACATTTGTGAACCATTCATTGTTATTTAAAGGTGTTATTTATCAGTATAGAGGTTAAAAAAGTAGTTTTATATCAGTGGTAATTATACGTGTTTGGTTTCAAAATCCTGGATTTGTCCTTTGATAGGATCTTTTGATACACAATTCCAAGTTATCTTATTACAAGGATGAAATAACTGTTCAATACCTCCCTATTATCTAGTAGTATCCCAAATAAGATCAGTTTGTAACGAATGCAACCTAGAAATTGAGTTCATTTCCACAAAAGTCTAACTAAATAACATGTGGTATTGTCGATTCTACTGATTCTGTAATCTACTTTTTTTAAACTAAATGGATTGCTTACTTTGAACACGGAGTTATAACTACCTCAATAGATTCATTTAGCAAAAGGTTAAATTGACTATGGAACGTTCATCTCTCCAGGATTATCAACATTCACCCTTTAGTCTCTCTTAAATGTTGTTGCAATGTGATCTTTTTGAAGATCTATTAGTATCCATGTTGAAGTAAGTCTTACCTTCATTAGTTTACCTTAAGAATCTACTTTACGTGGTCTAATACTTTTTAATATATTAAATAAAAGAGTGAAAAAACTATGACTCGTCACATCAGACAGTATATGAGATCCAGTCGTAACGTTACACATCATACAACTGAATTCTATGGAAGATTGATTATTCTTCAAATATTGTTTCGGTTAAATCAAATCCTTGTTAGTATTGATTTAAGGAAACATGAAATCAGCATGTTTTAAGTAGGCATACAGACTGGATAACCGTTTCAGGGAGTCATAAAATTGATTTTTAGTTGATAAACGAATATCTTAGACATTCTGAAAAATTCATATATAGGACACTGATTTTGTCATCTGGATTCATCCGAATCCCATTATTGATTTTCACACTGAGACACAAATCTGCTGCTTAACATTTTAAATAAAAACGCGTTATTTACTGTGCTATTTACTTCGTTACTATACCATCCTACTTGTTCACCGGATATGATATTTATAATCAGTCGTACTAGCCATTATGCTCATTTTGGTTTTCACTACTAGCCACTATTCATTTTATAGTTATCTATGTAGTAGTGAGCTAGCAACAACCGAACGCCATATTTACTTTTAACTCAAATTATTGAACTGACCAAAGTTATACTTGTGCAGTGGTCTAGAGATTTAGCGTCCATGCGTGAGAGTGGAAGTCCTGTGTTCGATTCCCTGTAGCATGGTCGTAATTGGGTACTACTGAGGAGTGAAAATTAGGACGAAACATCTATCTAGTGCTTTCACGTTTCTTATTTAAACTATGAGAATAATTAATTATTAATCGTATCGATTCGTTGGTCATTCACTAATTTATCAACAGATAGGTTAGTTGTATTAAGAAAGACATAACTACTGAATGGGTCACAATTCCGTCTACCTAACGGAACATATACCAGCGGTGAATAATACTTTTTCTCTACTTTTAAAGCTAATTATGATTATATCTTCCCTTATTGTTCTCACCAACTATGGAATGAGTAATTTGCTAAGTGGGAAATTTTTTTGGGAATATTACTTTTGATCACGAAAAGTGAATAGAATTTCTCATGTATTTAACATGATTATGTCTGTCTATTTGTTATATGTATTATTCTCCTTTTTCGATTCGACGAATATGTTATATATACAATTTGCATACATGTTGTACGTGTGCAATGGATACAGTTTTCATGCTTCTACTCTCATTTTTGCCACATCAACCATTCCATTTCTAATGCCGTTACTGTTAATATCATCCTGAATCAATAATGAATCATTCAATTCACGTACAAACACACACACACACACACTCACTTGTTTTTCATACAAACATCATAAGGCGTCAAATCTCTCACTCACTCATTCAGTCAATTGGTTGGTTAGTTAGTTAGTCAATAATATCAAACATATTGTCTATTTGATAAGATTAGTTAACCTCTGTTATGATTATGCATAAAATAAATTAGGTCACCACAAATTCTCTGTCTATAATTTAAATTAATGCATTTGATGATGATGATGACAGTCTAATTTTATTTTAGAATCTGAAATCTCTGTAGACACACAGGGTTTTTATGTCTTAAAGCTATGACCTGACCTCTAGATCATGGTTATATGTTCATATATACACTGTTATTATCATTTTTATTATGGATAATTCAACTGGAGAAGGTATTTTATGACATAGGTTGCAAATTGAATAATTATTGTTACTTGTAACCAGTTATAATCGTTGTTACTATATATGTGTATATGTATTTCTCAGATTACTTCTCAAATTACCATAAATATGACAAATACAATGAAAGATAATTTGGAATTTCATTCCAGGGTATATATGGCTGAACATGTCCAATGTTCAGTGAGTATGATCTATCCAGTCCTAACCGTTGCTGCTACCTTGACGTGGTGGTCGGGCTTGTCTATCATGATGATCCAATCGAGTTATACTGGCTGGAACAATCGTTCCTCAAGATCCTACCATGCCAGGCAGGTCGGTTGAAGAGCGGTAAGACTGAAAGCAGCAAACCCAAGATCCGAAGGCGAAGTCGTACTGCTCACTGTACAGAGGTGTGACAGCAGTAAGGTGTTTCCTTCAGACAACCAGCATGGCAGTGATGCTGCCTTCCCACAAGGAGGGGTTGGGTTAGAAAAGGTCGACCCTGAAGATGCACACCTCGCCTAATCCTACAGATATCCGTCTCCGACGGTAAGGTCCCAACAAGTACGGAGCTAACACAAAAATTACCCACAAAAGGGTCGTGTGTGACCGACCTCAAGCAGTTGTGCCCTAGGCACTGCGGTCGCGCTCTCAGGTCATTAAGACCACTTCTAACCCAATTTCTTTTTCAGGTACCTCTAGAAGAACCCTTCCGCGGTGTGGCAACTTGAACCGATGCATATATATGCCTAGTCCTACGTTGTAGCTGACTGACTGACTGATGATCTATCCAGCACTTTCGAGCGTTTTCTTAAAAAATTAATAGATGAGTGCTGCATATCGGAATGTAATTCTCATTATAGATTTCATTTCAATCGTCTGTAATTAGCCTTACTCATTTGCTTTGAATATGACAATGTAACACAGTCCAATATGCCAGATGAAACATAAAAATATAGTCGAAATTAGGGCTTGAAATGAGATCTTTAATGAAAATCATACTCCAGTATACAGTACTCATCTCACTAAATGAACTGAAAAAATGAACGAAATTACTGGATACAACAGACCTTTTGAACAACAATGAAAACATTGTGGATAACTTCAGTGATGTGTATATCATTAATTGTGTTTGTTATCACCTGTAGAATTGGTGAAAGCTAAATAATATTGAACAACTGTTCTAAACTTCTAGTTTGTGAGTCTTTAATTGTGCATACTCGCTGATTAGCCTCAGTCAGTTAGTCATATAATGAACATTTTAGACACACCACAGCAGTTAGTGGAATGAAGTAATATTATCGAGATGGATATCGAAGTAAGGATTATAATATCAGTGATAGCAAAAATAAAAAAAATAAATACAGAATATGATTTAAGAAAAACAAATAAATCCGGGAAATAAGAAGTATGTGATAAGTTTAAAGCTCTACGATATAAGAGGAGACAAGGATGGAATGCATCATTGCGACTGATTCTCAAGCATGTAATCCATCACAAGACGAATATGGAGGGCTCGCAGTGATTGTGATATTCCTACACTTAAAATCACTAACTGATCTTAGCTATACCACCATTGAAAATTTGAAGCACTGGATGACCATTTCATCCTAGTATGTGACTACTCGATAGTGAACAACCACAACCTCGCATACATGACTCGAACCTAGGACCTTCAGTTTCGACTTCCTTCTGCGTGGTGGTGGGCGCGCACTATTGAGGAGTCTCGTACTAGGGTGAAACGGCTGTCCAGTGCTTCTAGGTTTTCAATGGTGGTCTAACTTAGACTGGCCCATGATTTAAATCGGAATATGAATTGTTGTAACGACAGTAATAATATTAATAATAGTAGTGATTATGATTATCAAGAATGCATCGTCAAATAAAAAGAAGTTGGATGTAGATTTATAAATAAGTATAATGTCCTGAGACGATGCTCAGATTATATTGAAGGGGAACAAACAAAATTCGAACTAACAATCAAAAGACTCTATCGTAGGTCAAGTTAAACGGAGAAGATATCTGTATCTTTTACGCATTCATAAGTAAAGTTTCTTTAAATTAATGCCAATTGCTTCAGCTAATATAAAGTGTTATCTTGAGCCTTCAGGTAGATTACTAGGATCTTAATGTATTATAGAATAAGTTGGGAAACAATGAAACTATCAACGGATTTTGTAACGCCTTTTCTTAGCCATGTCGGTGCACGTTTACGAGCGCATAATAATAAGATCTTTTATATACTCTCACTGTAACCAACCCGACTTTCTGTATAAAAATTCTGATCATAGTGCTTAATTATGCTTAATTATCAAAATATGTCATCAATCAATATTGACCAATAAAAATGCTCTAAAACTTTCAGCCAATCAGATTCTTTCAACCTATCTGTTTTGTTAGAAGGGGTTTTGTGAATATTTAGTATATTTCATAGTTGAAAGCGTGAGTCAATTGAAGCTAGTTGAAGTTAGACATTAACACCATTGGATGCCAGCTCAGTGGTCTATCAGTTAAGTACTCTGGCGCGAGTGCGGGTTCGTGGATGCGCACTGCTGAGGAGTCCCACAACAGGACGAAACGGCCGTCCAGTGTTTCCAGGTTTTCCATGGTGGTCTAGCTTTAATTGACTCACGCTTTCAACTATGAAATATCTGTTTTGTGTTCCCCCCCCTGTTGTTCAATTGTTCCAATGATTATATACATATATTACTAGGGTGATATGAACATTTACTAATTAGATTACTAATCAGTAAATTGATTATTTCAATCAAATCAAGTTTGTACGAAAAAAGAAACAACCCCCCTTTTTTAATCAGAATTTTTGAGGTTTTGTAAAATGTAATCAGATAGATACTACTTTAAATAAAATAATTAACTGATATTTGTCGATAGATAGTTTTTATTTTTAGGATTTTATAATAATCGATTTTTTAGAGAATTGAGGGAAAATAAAAAAAGGGGGAAACGTTTTCATGGTGTAGATTAAATTATTAATAATAATAATAATAATAATAATAATAATAGTGAATTAGTTAAGTAATATTACATAAATCTTTTTCTAGAATGCTTGGCTCTTTATTTGTTTATCTTGATTGTTTAAAATTTAATACTGATTCAATGTTTCTGGCCCCCAAATGCCCTGGTACGGCTGAGAGTGGGGAGAGTCCGCGCTCCCTCTTCAAATGCTCTCACATGACCACGAGTATATAGCCTCTGCTAGGAAAGCCCTACTCACTACGTCCTCGTGGCGGGGGTGTTGTTTACGAAATTTAGAGGACGAAAAGGGAATGCTCGGGACTTTAACCGGGTTAGTGGACATGGAAAGACCACTTAGGGGAGTTGGAAAAGCCTGTTTCCAAACCAATGGTGCACATGGGCTCCAGTATCCTGTAGGAACAAATGGTGTATGTATCAATCGTTGGTCACTGGCTACCATGTGACTGCATCTCCTCACGATGCTCCACTGCCTTGTGGATTAGACATCTAGGTCGAAGGCTGCAGGTGTGGCCTCCTAAGAAAACCACCTGATTCGATTTGAGCACCTGGGCAGTATCACAGCCTTCACACAAATTAAATGAGACTTGTGCCTCACATGTATATCTGGTGTTTCCTTCTACCAGTATTTATATGTTTAAATAAATGAATAAAACATGTGTATGTTATCCATTATAAAAGTAAGAGATTGTTCAATTTGTATGTTAGTCATATGATTATGATATAGTAGTAGTATACGTCAATCAATTGAATGAATCTGTTAAGATCATTTCATAGTGGTGTATATTTTTGTGGTATTAATCGGATGATACTAATCAGATAATTTTGTTGTATTTCAAAACTTTTCAATTAGTGCTCGTCATTTGAAAGACTATAAGAATCAAAACTTTAGGATATGCAAATATTACAAATCCTAGAGTTCGAATTCAATGACTATTGTATAAGTTTTGTAAAGATTGTTGAATTCTCATGGTTTACACCACGCATGAATCCTAGTTAGACTATCATTGGAAGCTGCAAATCATTGTTCAGTTGTTTTTTTCCCATTATGGCACTCTTCAACAGTGCTCATCTATACGACTTCACTTTGGATTAAACCTTAGGACCTTCAGTTCTCGCGACGAACTCTTAATTAATCTTCAGATCACTGAACTATCTTATTTTTTCCTGATATTCAACGGTTGCACAACTGAGATACTTTCCATTTGTACAGAAACCCTATGATACCGTACTCATTGATTGAAGATGAATTTTAGTCTTGATTCGATTGTTACAACATTAATTTAACTATGTTACTTGTGGTCATCTCTTCATGCTAATATGTTATGACAGTTTTGGTCAACATACACTTATACCAAACTCCACTCTGGTAATGATTAGCTTGCAGTCTGGATTTTCGAGTTGACTGTGTTATCTCGTTCAGAAACACTTGATTTCAGTAATAACATAAAGGTTTTTAGTTATTAAAGGGGCTTTTTCAACCGCAATCATTATCTATCAAACGAATCATAATGTATTATAACGCATTATAATGTAAATCCATTTATCATTACAGATGGTGTCATATCTTATTCAATGCCTCAAGGTGATACTATCACATATGGTCGACAATTATTATTCGGTTCACCTTATTCTACTATTCCACAAAATTTTCAAGATTTAACTTATGATGGTCAATTGATTGAATTAGAAAATCAATTAGTCGGTGGAATAGGTCAATTAATGGATAATATTGCCTATTTAGGCAATGTTACTCAACATTCAGATTCTCATCCAGCTCAACCTGGTTTTCATTTTATTGGTTGGAATGTTCCAAATAAAAATTTACGTATTCTTTTTAAATTTGATGAAGGTAAATCTGTGTTTATATGTAAATTGCTATCTTATTTTTTCTTGCAGCCAACTTTTATGAGTTTTATTCATTACAAATTGCTGTTTAAGTTGTTCTCTGTGAGATCTGAAGGTTATTGTTTAGATTCCTGACCTAGTCGTTGGTGCACACTTCTGAGGAGAGTTTCGTACTAAGATGAAATAACTGTCCCGTACTCCTGTGATTCCTCAGTAATGCGATGGAAATCATGCACATATTTCATAACTCATCTTTGGGTTTTAATATTGTAGCTAGACAAAGGAAAACTGTGATATTTTATCTAGCTTGACTTTGAAACATCTATCGATTTATGTCTAAATCCATTTTATTAGTAACTTAATTATCCCACTTCGGTTTGGACGCCTGAGCAGTATTCCATCCCTCATACTCATATTTATAGGGTACCTCTTTGTAATAATGTTTATACGTCCCACAATAGGATGAAACGGCCGTCCAGTGCTTCCAGGTTTTCAATGGTGGTCTATTTAAATTTCATAACCTTTAAAACACTTTCTTCTGACTTATTTGTTTACTTTATTTACTTTATTTCTGTAGTTCGGACTTTTATTTGGTTACGTATATTTACATTCGATTCTGTCCCATTGAAATCACGTGTATTTTCACAAGCTATCGTTGAATTCAGTATGGATGGAAAGAATTTTGATAAATCCATTGAAATTTCAACTAATCATGCACGTCTAATTGATCCAAATCAAATTAATCCAACACGATTATCTATATCTGATAATGATATACAATCGTCATCATCATCATTATCTAGATTGAAAAGAGCATCAAATTCAATGCACAATGGATTAAATCAAGATACTATAATTTATAATAATCATGAATGGGATGGTGCATTAGTGATACAAATCCCATTAGCCAGTTATAGAGCACGTTATGTTAGCCTGACTTTAACATCAGCTGATTCATGGATTTTATTATCTGAAGTACAATTTAATTCAAGTAAGTAATTTTTATCAGTTTTTGTTGTTTTCATGTGTGTGTGTGTGTAGGATCATTAGTTTTCCTAGAATTATAGTGGATGTTACTATGTCAAGCCCTTATAGGTTATTCTGGCTTCTGTACAGACCAATTTATCCATTCTTCTAAAGCCACATTATGACTTTGTTTGATTATTCGCTTATTAATCCTGACTGTTTATATGATCGCGTGTTAATTGATAACCCTATTCTTTACGTGTCTACAACTTATTTTTTAGTCTGACTATAAATATTGAGTTACGCTTGGTTAAATCGGATTGTCTCACTCACCTTCTCCACCATGCATCGCTTCGTTCTCAGTTTTCCTAACAACATTTCTACACTTTCCCAAGCTTCGCTTCCTGCACCTCGTTTTACTGACCGTCTGTCTGGATCAATCAGTGTACGAAATATACGTATTCGGAATTCATTCTCATATTTAACTTATTTTATTATGTTATTCTGTAACGCGAACTAAGTCGATAATTATTTGCGACGGTTGGCGACATTTATATTTCGATAACAATCATCATGCAATCTAACTGGAGTCAAATATAGGGCCACTAAAAAATATACATTAAGAGGCTGACAATGCTTTTTTTCGAAAAATAGCTTACTAAGTTACTAAGTTTGTTAGTTATGAACATAAATAAATAAATGACCAATTAGATTATGTTCTAAAACATTCATTATTTCAAGTTGTTATGACTGTAGTAACCTTTTCTTTACTCAACTACTAAACGATGATAGCTATAATTTCCTTACAAGTATTACATGTTCTGTCAACTGAATATCTGAGAGTGAGTTTACGTATAAGAAGTGAATATTTACGAATTTCTGACCTGTAATTCAACTGTCACTCTGGATCTCTCTCTCTCTCTCTCTCTATTTACCACTGGACGTAACTTCCTTCCCGGAATACAAAGTTGTTATTCAAGGGCGTTAAAATGTGGAATGTTAAAGTAGCTAAAGGAAGCTATCTTTAGATGACCTTTAGGAATGTTTTCAACAATAGGAATGAGTATAACTCAAATATATCGTCAGAAAAGAGGAGCATCTTAAAGGAGATAAGGATATTGTTATAACCAGATGAGACAGCTAAAATCTGGACTTGATATTTGATACATTTGTCTTCAAGATGTTGATTATATGTTTGCCTATATGACTTTACTACTCTACTACTATTACTTACGAATATAAACTTAGTTTTGTTAGATTTTCTTCGAATACTTCTCTCCATCTCATTGTTTTATTTATCCACCCCATTTCTACGCTTAAATTACTTGATACATACATACAAACAGTACACAAAACATGGACCTTGGACGAATGATTTTTCTTTTTGTAAACCCTTTTCTTCTTAGTTAAATCTTATGTTTTTGTTTAGTCATTCTTTATACATTCAGAATTTCTTTTATATTACGTTTGCTTAATCATGTAACGTTTAACAAAATTTCTAGTACTGAGAATAATGTATTTTATTAGAATAGGAGGGGATTTGCGGAGATTTTAGTAATCTTAATAGTTGAATTCATGTGTCAATTTAAGCTAAACCATCATTCTAAACCTGGAAGCACTGGATGACCATTTCGTCCTAGTATGGGATTCCTCAACTGTGCACATCCACGATCATGTACACGGGACTCGAAACCAGGACTTTCATTCTCGTGCGCGAACACTTAACCTTTAAACTACTGATTCGGAGTCCAATGCTGTTAATGTCTAACTTTAATCGACTTATGATCTTCCACAACCTCTCATCCAGGATTAAACGACCTTTCAGTACTTCCACATTCTCAATGGTGGTCTAGACTACATTGACAACGAATTATTACATCATTCATTGTTCTTTAAAAGTGTTTATCATTAAATATCAGTTACATTTATGTTCAATAGATCACAGACTATTATTGTTGTTCAACGGTATTTCATCATAACCGTTTACCATTTTTCTCACGATTTCCACTCTATCAAATAATATTATTCGTTAAGACTTTTTCTAATTAGAAAAAAAAACGTAATAACATTAAGGTATTTGTTAATTCAAAATGTTACATGTCAATTCAATCCTGGGAATCGGTAATGACTTTACACGGTTTTATGAGAGAATTCTGTTTTATTGTAGGAATGTGCAAACTAATTTTGATGCCTGTTGATTGTCCAAATTTAAATAGTTCAAACCAGGGGTGCGTTGTGTTTTTTTAGTGCAAGTGAATACACACACGTACACATCCACACTGACCGGTGACTTGTACAATATCGAATCTTAATTCACTTCAGTTTAATTATTCATCTTCACCTTCTAAGAATATGTTACTGAATGTGATTAAAATTATATATGCAGACAGGTTTTATCAACGAGCAGTGTCAACTGATGGATTTCAGCGAGATATTTTTTTAATACCTGATGTCATCGGTTGATGAATCGATTGACAGAAGTTGAGGGATTCGAACCATTGGATTGGGATTTAATCATCTAAAATTTGATAACATCGCTAACCACACATGAGGTTTAAGATCTGTTATATCCTTTTACTACTGAGAAATCTTAAAATGAATAAGGAACTAGTGTTCGATACAATTTTTATGTTCAACTATTCCTTAATCTATATCAGTCCACATTGACATTAAACCTAATCTCCGCAAATATCTTTAAAAAATTTCCCATTTAAGATTGATAGCTTTTAGGTAGCGCTATAATCTAAAACTCAGATTTCGTCTTATTTTGAACTCGTTAGCTGGATGTACACATATCTCGGTGTTAATGTTCTCATTTAAGATTACTATTTAGGAGTACTATTCACTTCAAACATCAATGCGTTATCCATTGAGCTAATCAGTCTATATATCTACTAGCTTGTTCAATGAGTATTAAGGTGTTAGTAAGGATCAGTAATTTCCGGTTGTTTAGATATTCAATGCTGAATCTATCCCTTTTAGAAAATAAACTTGTGATAAAATAGTTGTATTGAGGTGTAATCCTCCCATATGACGGATATATGTCAATAAAGATTGATTATAATTCACTCTGGATCGTGGATGCGCACTACTGAGTCGCATACTAGGACGAAATGGCTGTTCAGTGCTTCCAGGTTTTCAATGATGGTCTAACATCAATCGATTCATTATCTCAATCAAAAACTTACCAATCTCCACAACCCCATACTGATAATTAATTAATTTCTTAAACCTTAATCTATCCATTGTAAGCAAAGATAGATAGTGGCTAGCAGTGGGATCCAGGACGCGCGTTTCGTCCTATTTGGGACTCGTCAGCTGGATGTACCTGCATCCCAGAGTTGATGTTCACTCTGCGAATCGAACCAAATACTTTTTGCTTCAAACGGCATCACGTTATCCACTCGGCCATTGAGTCCTAATAGCCACTTGGTTGTGCAATGGGGTGAAGTTTAAATTCACTTAGTATTGTCTGTTTGAATCTTCCCATTGATGTTTAGGACTGCAACTGGTCAGTATCTAATTGACCATATGTGCATACTGTGCGTATTGCGTATCTATCCAGTTATAAATACATCAGTATTAACTAAATATAACCTTTTCGTGTAAAAAAAGTTCTTAATTTTTCCTTTTCTTCATTGATTAAAAAGCAAATACAAACGAAACATTATGTTATTTTATTTCTATTATACTCTATAGCTATTGTACAGCCTCAATCTCTACTACCATTATCATCTAATGAAGAGATTAATAATGGTAATAAATCACTTGATAATGCTGATGATACTTCAAACCATTTAGATAATTCACAGAAGAAATTATTCAATACAGATGAAAATTCATTTCGTGCTTCTCCAATAATAGGTGATCATTCAGAAATGTTAAATAAACAAGATATAAGAAACCGTAAGTTCTTTTTGGGGAGGAAAGATAATATTGTTAAATGTTCATTTTTGGTTAAAGGTTTTTCGCAACATTGTTTTTCTCTCTCTCTCTCTCTCTGTACACATATTACTCTGAGTGGTGGTGAGTGAGTTACGACATTTGGCAAGAGGAATGTATTTTGCTACCTACATTAAGTATATAATTATGTATAACCTTCAATCTTTCATTTCTATCTTTCGGTATGTCCTACAGTCTGGACCATCTTCTCGTCTGATCTTCACGTGTTATTTCAACGCCATTTTTGATTCACTGAAACTCTTAATCCCATTTGATAATTGTAACAACTACAATATCACATTGCGCCACAAATTACTTACAAATAACCTTGTGAGTACCGTCCACTAAGGATATAGATTAAGGTTTTGAATAAATTATGGAATTAAAATTAAATCCTACAGAAATATATATTACTCATATTATGTCATTACTTTTACTAACAAGAGATCGAGATTATTATCACTCCTAGTGGAATTTAGTTTTTGATTGTATGAATGTTTAATAGTTAAGATAGTGAAGTTTCGTCTACTAGAGTATTACTTTGTATATTTAAACTACGTTCTGTATGTTTATGGTTTGAATAGTTAATCTTGAAAAGTTTATCCAAGAGTCCATGGATTTCATCAAAGCGTGAACTATTGATAGGGAATGAGATAGTTGAGTGTGTCAACCGATTTACTTATCTTGAAAATCCCACCAGTCTTAGCGGATTGATGTCTAACAAAATCTCGCTATGGATTCAGAATGATTATCTATGACGTAGGAGAGTTATCTTTCTCCTAACTAAAAGACGAGTTTACTGCTCAGCAGTTCGTTCTGCTTTATTTTATAGCTGTGAAACATGACCTCCAAAAGTAGAGGATACTTTTAAGTTAAGATTATTTGACGATAGATTGTTTCGAGTCATTACTGGCATATTTGGGGACTATTGATTGAGTAATTCTGATGCCAGATAATAAGGGAATATTAGAAATAGGGCTGATGAGATAGGGAATCTTCATCGACTGGGGTGGTTGAGACATGTAATAAGTGTGCCTTGCCATCTTAATTCTTGGCGCATGATGTTTGCTGCTGTATGTGTAGACTGGAAGGAACCTATGGGTGATCAAACCAAAACATGACATCAACTAATGAAGTGACTATTAGATTAAGCAGTGTTGGTAGGTTCAAACTATCAGGTTGAGATTGGGTTAATTTTGTAACCAATGCGTGAAGAAATAGTGGATTCAAGTTTTGTACTAGAAGACATTAACTAGCAAGATGTATCTGGAATCTTTTGTGAAATGGTACTATCTGCAGGATTTGAACCCATATCATTCAACTTCACAGTCTGAGATGTTAATAATGAGCTATTCTGGTCGTAACTTACATCTTATAGGGATGAGATATTGACATTGATTGATTATTAAGTAGTGACAAATGTCGTGTTTGTGTTGACCTTTAGTACTGGTCGTATTCTGTCGATCAAGTTACACTTTAACCAATAATCTAAATGATTCAGCATTGCTTGTATTGTTTAAATGCTAGATGATTAGAAGCAATGAGGCGAAAACCTTTCAATCTTTACTTTTATTTGCTTCTTTCAAACTATATGTTTGAATATTGAAGTATTCAGTGTATGATTCTCATATTTTATTTTGTATTAGACGGTAAATTGGTTATCCTCATTTGAGTTCTTGATCATTATAACATGAATCAAAGTGTTAACTGGACAATTTTCCATTTAATATAAATCAACACCCAACAATATAAATATATTTAATCCTAGAGTGAACATCAACTCTGAGATGCAGGTGCATCCAGCTGACTAGTCCCAAATAGGACGAAACGTGCATCCTGGATTCCACTGCTAGCCACTATTCATCTTTGCTCTTAATTAACTTAGTTCTACATCGGTTATACCGACTATGATTACTTCAATCTAACGTGAATCTTAATGCTTATGATCTTTTAGCCTTCTTCATAGTCAGCATTGCTTTATTAGTTATTTAAAAACTTCTTTAGACTACAATCCTTTTGGAATCTTTTTTTTCACACTGTATTGAACGAAGACTCAGGTACTATGAACCAATTTATTCCATTCGTAATATATAAAAACATATATTAACTACATCATTTGGATATTTTCCTTCAGTTTTTCTGTACATACTCCATCATCCTTCTTATTTTGTTGTCATACCGATTGCTTTCTGTTTTTCTTTTCTTCCTCATTTTATTTCAATCTTCGGTTGATAAGCATTCCACTTCCATTTCATACTACTTATATCTATCCGTATAAGTAGCATGCACCACAATACTATTCTGATCAATAACAAACAGCTAATTGGTACATGATAACGATAGAATTGTTACTAGTTTCTTTTTCCGTTTGTTTGTTTGTTTCATAATCACATTAACAATTTCTTACCCGCCCCCCTCCACACATCCTATCACGTTTTACATGTATCGGAAGTAGAATTTATCAAACAGAAAATTTACTTTGATTCATCTGCTTTGGTTACATGTGGTCAAATTAAGAATAAATATATTCATTTGTTTATTCATTAATTCCTATGTATTACATAATGACTTACATATGGAAATATTCTTACATGTATATATATATGTATGGTATTGATACATACTGCACATGTCTACTAATAATCTTGCTATTCGTTTTTCTTTTAATCTAATTTATTTTTTTTTTCTTTGTGTAACGTTCCTGTTCTTCTCTGTCTCTCTTTGTGTTCACTTTCTTCTTTCTCTCCCCCCTCTCTCTTTCCCGTTTATTCTTTGTATAATTAATTAAATTATCTTACTAATAGGCATTAAATGGGTAGGTAGATGTAGTCTGTTCATGACAACAATACACTTGGTGAATGTTAACGTAGGTAAATGTACAACACGTTGGAAGTTTAAAGTGAAATATATTTGGTTCGAATCCTTACGCGAACTGGAGGCCAGATATACCCATGCAACGAAACCCACTCTCTGAATTCCACTGTTAGCTCTTCTGTCTAGCTCTACCTAGAATACTTGTGGCTTAATGCTCGATATCGAGGTAATCCGTACAGGATGCATATATATGCAAAATGATGGATCGATTACAGGCCACTGTATTAGCAGGAGGATTCAATAACCCTTATAAATGAATCAATTTGATCTAGTTTCGTTTCTTACCATTCAGTTCCCACTATAACCAGTGTTCGTTTGTTTTAATCACGAGTTAAAATAATAATCATGATTTTGATGTAGAGGTTTTGCGGAGATCAGTTTGATTTGTTGATAGTATTCGTCGTGAGTTTAACTTAGTTGGAGATACTAGTGAAAACCAATAAAGATCGAACAGCTATTTTATTATAGTATCCGATTCTCCAGCAGTGTACACTCAAAAGTTCACTAGGAAATCGAATTCAAGATCATTGAGTCTTGCGGTGAGTGCTTATCTTCTAAGTAAACTGAGGAAATTTGATAACAATTTTAGTCTTCTTTTTATAAAGTCTTTATATAAAGTTATGAATATTGCGTTACTGATTTAGCTATACACTTCCAGTACTGTGTTAGTTGAAAGAGCTATATACACAATCTGTTTATGAAATACAAATCCATTTACCCATCTTTTAGAATTAGAATTTCAACCTGTGGCTTGGTTGGAATCCAGATGCTTTTGTCAATAACTCCATTCCAGTACAAAATATTATATATATATATATATATATATATATATACCTGGAAGCATTGGAGAACCGTTTTTTTCGTAGTTAAGGGCTAGTCAGGAGTGACCCAACACCATGGAGTCGAATCCGGGACCTTCAATCTCGCGCCCAAACCCTTAATCTCTAGACAACTGAGCAGACATTCAACAGTTTTAGTGTCTAACTTCAACCAATTCACGATGTCACGCGATCATCTCCCATTGTCTTCAGTGCGTAACCGCCTTACACCCGACACGATTCAACTTCACTGGTCACGGCTTCTCACAAGATCTCCGAGAATTCCCTCTCGAAACTAATCAGTAGTGAGTGCGTGATAATTTTCAGTTTGGAATTGTGGATATTGTTGAGTTCTATTGAAATCATGAACTGGTCAGGATGGTCGCACGAAATCGTGGATTGGTTAAAGTAAGACATTTAAACTGTTGGATGCCGACTCATTGGTCTAGAGGTTAAGCTTTCGTGAGCGAGACCGAAGATTTTCGGTTCTACCCCCCGCCGTGGTAGGGTCAGGGTGCACACTCTCAAGGTGTCCCATACTAGGGCGGGACTGCCGTCCAGTACTTCTAGGTTTTCAATGATGGTTTAACATTGATCGGTCCATGATTTCAATGAAATTTAACAACCTTCAGAACCCCAAACTTACACATGTATACGTTGTATATTTATTGAAAATATTTGATGACTCAGTATTTAACCTTGTAGAATAAAAATCTGAAGCCTGCTTCATATACTTTTTGATTAAGCATTATAGGTGTTATGAATGGTTATAGATGCGTGCACATATGACGTCCCGGTGTTTTCTGAACTTACACCTCTAATTTGACTGATGTCTGGGTAAATGTTGATGGTGATGATGAGTGAGTAGTGGGTGATGAAACTGTCCAGTGATGTTGTCGTGTTATTATTGTTGGCTCTCGTTATTATTCATCTCTTACATATCTATATTAAATAAAGACTACTATGATTACTGTATAAATCGGAAATAAATTAATGTTGAATTAGGAAGTATAAACAAACACGAAATCAACTATTGATATACTTGATCTTCATCATCATCATCATCTTCTTCTTCTTCAAGTCTAGAAATGTGTGACTGACTCTATTTATTTCTCCCTCCCTCCCTCCCTCTCTCTTTCAAACTATTCATCTCATCTCATCTCATTGTTATTTCTATAATTGCGTCATTTCATTGAATATTACATACTTCTTTTTTTGTAATGTAAGTATCTATGTGTTTTTGTATATGTATACATATAAATCGGGGTGGTG